TTACTTCACACAAATATTAGAAAACCCCTGTATTTTTAGGTGTTTTTCATAGTGATAGTATCATCATGGGAAATCTTATCCAGATCAACTGCGCCTGTCACTGGGTACAGTCCTCCTTTGACAAACATATGGCAGCTCAATCTAGTCATGATAGATCAGTATCCCTGGAGTTCGGCAGAAGAAAATGAGTCATGCCCAAGTTGCGTAGGACCAGGCAGCCAGAATCTGGTAGGAGGTCCTCAGAAAAGCAGAGCTGTCTTCAGAAAGCTTATAGCTGAAAGGGTAACACAAAAACCTGCTGAGAGAGGGATGACACAGAGTCCAAATGTTTCAGGGAGAGAGGGTTTTAAGAAACGGTCCACTACGGATTACTACTGTAAAACGAGAACAAAATACCAGCTAAATAATCTGACTAAATCACAACAGTAAGGTCGAATCTTCAGAAGAGGTGAAGCTGATGGTCAAGGAAAAAAGCTCACAGGACACCAGAAGGTGCAGAATGCACTAGCAGAAGCACAGAAGAGTTACAGTCAAAACACTGGAAGGCTGGAAGGCAAAAATACTCAACTATGGGCAAAGGAAGTTACAAGTGCTTGATATCTTAACTCTGCGTGGGAGTCCAATGCCACTCAGCTACTTAAAGGCCAAGAATTTTCCTGGTTAATTGTTTTTTAATATTTGCTTCAAAATCCTCTGCAAATCCAGCCATCCACAGCTTTTTTAGCTATATGCCATAGTTACAACAAGTCAGTTGCTGACTGAGCTATCCAAACATAGATCTCTCCTGAATTTCTCCTATTCTTTATCACTAAAAATAAAGAATATAATAAGAAACTAAAAACTTAATTAAACTGAGAAACTAATTGGATTTCCAAGACAGATGACTGCATTGAGATGCTATCAAAAAGTAAAGGACAGCTTGAAGTCATCATCCTTTAGAGGAGAGAGGACTTGAAATTTCTGTCCTCTCAACAGAAATGGTAAGACCAGATCATGATAAGTTTAACTAGAGACAAACAAATAGAAGTAATGGAATTAAAAATATCCCAAACCTGTAATGTTGAGTTTTCATCACTAGCAAAATCTACTAGCCGTAAAAAGCAGTTTACTAAGGAAGCAGCAGAAATCTCACAGCTCACAAACTTTTAATACCAGTGCATGCCAAAATAATCATGCAAAAGCATTTTGCTGTGTGACCAAATTCATCATCCTCTTTATATTAGTCCACCACACATGAAGTCTAACACACAACCACCAAATTCCAAATGCATTATTCAAGCCTCAAAAGGTCACTGCCTCAGTTTCACAGTCACCTTAGTGATACAATTCTACGGGCAGCTCTGTTCAGACCATCACTTGATGCCATCACAGGAAGCAGACCATCCTTGTTCACCCCTGTTGACCCCCACCCACACGGTCCTCCCTCTTCTTTGCACTGGTGCTAGTGCTTAAAGCGAGTCAGGATAAGAAATTCGTAATTTTTCCAGTTGCCTGTGGTTTTTTTTACATCCAAGCAAGTTAAAGCAACAGACAGTGCTCATGGGCACTAGGGGCAACCCAGGTACAAAGCAGAAAGGGAGCATGAACTCCTTCCCTCCTCGTGGGTTTCAAGTAGTGGGATGAGCATGCCTACTCCTACTAGCTCTCCTGTGCTAACAATATTGTTTGCATGGCCAGCTGGGGTCAACTCCAGAGAAAAAAGCCACACTTTAACAGTCACTCACAGGAGAATGGCTCAAGCCAATTGTAACACTGCATCTAAAAACCCGTTTTCCAGAAACCTTCACTTCTCAAATGCCAAAGTCTGATTAATTTGAAGAGCTCAGAGTGTTAAGATGATGGCTAATTCCAGAATAGAAACTCAATTGAAAGAAAAATCTTTGAATTACTTTAAGGAAAGGTTATGTTATGCAGTGCATTGTTCCTTCAGTAAATACAATGTAGTGCTGTATTAAAAACTGATCTAGCTCAATATTATAAGACATAATTTGAGAGAAATTTATTAGCCAAATAAAGGTCCAGGTTCTCTGTCTCACCTCAAAGGCAGCAAATTAATCCACAATCATGGATTAAATTTAAACAAGACAAGAATCCAGAATTATCAAAAATTATCCAGAATTACAAAGCAACTTAAAAGTCAATAAATACACAGCATGCAAAATCCCAGTGTCATCTGCAGTCTCAGAACAGAAGGTTCCTTAAAACTTTCTACCAAATTAACTAGGGAACAAGCAGAGCCAGCGTGAGTAGGGAAACAGCCTCATGGTGTTCCATCCAGTGGAGACACAGTTTTGTTGATCCAATTTTCATAACCACAACTAAATACCTTCAAGCACAGTGTCAGATGTTACCTATTTAGCTGTCATTTAAAAATACTGTTAAAAAGGCACGTATACACAGGCAAAACAACAGTAAAGATAATCTATATAAACAAATAAATAAATCCTTGAATACCTGAGGAAATATGGCAAAAATAGAATCTTAGGCTCTTCCCTAGTCCTAAAATTCATTTTACATCCCTTTTCTGTCAAGTGTTTAGATTATCTTTGCCAGCTTCTGCTCTAACCCACTAATAACCTCTGATAATGGGAACTTGTTTAAAAATCTAAGAAATTTGACTGTTATAGGTAAAAACTTTCCAGCCTATATTTAATCTAAATCTCGCCCACTAAAATTTACTTCCTCTTAATCTACATCAGAACCACAGAAAAAAAAAACGGAAAAAAACTTTAAAAAGAAAACAGTGCTTCTGTGAACTATTTCTTGCATGCATACATACCCATCCCACAGCCTTTTCCACCACACCAAAATAATGCAATACTTCAACAAAAAAAAAAGAAATTATTCATGGGTTTGGAGCCTCTCAATCCACATTGCTACTTTCCCCTGTACTTTTTGGGTTGTTTAATACTCAAGACTAAACACAAAAGTGCAATCAAAAAGAAAAAATAAAAGCCTTCTGTAACTTAAACTGATTTCACATATCCAAGGATAACATCCACTTTTGCCATCCACATGTTGCTCACAGACCAATTTGTGACTAGGAGTCCTGAATTATTTCCTACACCTCTGCTTCCCAAACATCTGTATTTGAGCATCCTACAGCCTCTTCCTAGTGTGGCATTTTGTACATAGCAGCTTTTTAACTTTTGGGTTGTACTTCCCAAACCTGTTAAAATGATTGAATTAAAAGTTTATTCTATTCTTCTCCAGACAAGTGTTGGCATTCCCTCCTAACTCAATGGTACATCTGCAATTTTTAACTTTCAAGAAAATGATAGATAATATAACTAAAATCACCCTCAGAACAAGTCATCTGGTTTTCTCCCAACCTTCAAGAGATCTTCCAGCTTTGCAAAAGGTAATTTAAAGCTATTTAGGGATTAGTTACTTGACATGCAAAGTTATAGGATCAACTGAAATACCGTATCGACCAACCAGATGAACATGGAACTACGTTGAAACCTCCTAAAGTTTAAAACTGATTCTAAGATGGCTTTTAACCATATTTATTTTTCAGAACAAAATGTTATGTAACACAATAAGCCCACTTATAACATGTTACATTTCTCAAATAATTGTATTTCTTCACCGGAGAAGAAGGATTGTATTTCTTCGCTGGCTGACAGGCATCTCAGTATTTTAGTCCATAAAACATAAAAAAAAAAATTACTTTTTTCCATACAGACACATCAAAATTGATTAAGTACAAAATGTAGAAAGCACCAGCACTATACATAGTAAGAAACATTTAATACCACCTACAGCCAGACTAATTACGATTAAAAAAAAAAAAACAAGAGAGAGCGAGCTGTTCCGATATAGCATTTTCACAGCACCCTTGGGAGGTACAACTGCTGCTTCACAGACAGCGGATGTTCCAACTTCCTTAGTTTATACAGCAAGCCAACAGATTAGACAATTCAGAATTCAGAAGTGTCATGTCCTCAAACAAGACCGCTAGATCACGTAGCCTTGCATCTCCCTCTCAGAGTTATTTCGTGAATACTGCTGAAGTTTCATTAGTTATAATTAAAATTCATGTTTTTAAGGTGTTAGGCTGGGAAGAAATCCATGCACATCCCATCCGCTGAAGTTCAGTAATTTTAGCTCAGGGTGTCAAGACTACTCCAAACAACATCAGAAGTTTTTCTCTGATAAGAAACCACACTACTGTGATTATGAAGGGGTACGGGTTATTTTTTTTCTTCCACCTTCCATGCTCCTCCTTCCAATTACAGAGCTTTTTAAAAAGCACATTATGAGATATGACAAACTCCTGAATGTTTTACAGCACTTCCCTGCATGCTAATCCCATTTTCCTAAGTGAACTGTCTGAAAAACGGTAAAGCTTCCTACCACTCATTACAAGACAGATTCAGAATGCATATAAGCAATTCAAAGCCATCAGAGCCTGCTGAAATTAGATTGTTTTAAACGTTTTCAGCCCAACTGCTGGTTTTAACTGCAGGCATTACCATTTGCCCTAAAGTACTTTAGTATGAACATACTCACTTTTCTTAACAGAATTAAGTGAAGGCTGGAATGCTTTCCACACTTTCCTGGAGAACTGAACGCCCCTGAGGGCAGGGATGGACACCCCTGCCTGTGCAGCGCGGGGCTGCGCTCCGATACCGCGGGACCCGCGAGGTGCGGGGCGGGTCCCGCAGCCGCGCTCGGCGCTCACACACGGACCCCGCACGGGCGGCACGGAGGGAGCCAACGCGGAAGCGGAGGCTCCGGCTCCCAACAATATCGCTATTCAACAGGACCCGGCACACATCCTGCGGCGGGCTCCTTCCGGAAGGGCCGCGTCGGGCAGTACCGCAGTGCCGCCGCCGCCGCAGCCGGACCCCCCGCAGCCCGGCCCGGCGCCCTCTGCAGAGCCGCACCGCGGCTGCCCGCGGCGAAAGGGGGCGGCTCGGAGGCGCTCGGAGCGCCGCGGACACCGCGGGAAAGGCTCCCTCGCCGGCAGCCCGGCGGGACCCCGGGGCCGTTACCTGTCGCCGGCTCCGCCGCAGAGGCGGCGGCACCTCCCCGTCCTCCCGCCGGCCGCCGCAGCGGCCGCAGCCTCCAGGTCGCAGCCCGCGCCGCGGGCGGCGCCAGGCAGGAGCAGCCCCGGCAGGAGCAACGCCAGCAGGAGCAGCCCCGGCAGGAGCAGCCAGGTCGGCACCGCCGCACGCCGGCGCGCTCGAGCGCGCTCATCGGTGCCGCGCTGCAGCGGAGCGAAGGCAGGAACACGAGCACGGAGGAGGGAGGGAAGGCAGGAAGGAAGGGGCAGGAGCTCCGGCTGCGCCGCTGCCGCCCCGGCGGGTCGAACCCGCTCGCGCCGGCCCCGCCACCACCCGCCGCTTCCGGCGGCCCCCGCGCCGCCGGGCGACACGTCACCGGCGCGTGACGTCACCGGCAGGGGCGGCGGGCGGAGCGCGGGTCTGGTCCCAGTGCTGGGTCCGTGCGGCTCTCGGTGCAGGCTCCCATCCCGGTCCCGCTCTCGACCCCGATCCCAGCCCCGGGCAGACCGGACCGGCGCGCCGGAGTGCGGCAAGACGGGGCCGTGCCGGCGGGCGGTGGGGAAAGTTGTGTCCGGCTGCGGGAGAAGCGGCCCTGGCCAGCCCGCCCCGGACCCCGCCGAGGGGCCGCTCTCCCGGGCCGCTGAACCCCTCAGAGCAACCCGTGTGCTTGGCCGAATGCAGGAAAGGCACAACGGGAAAACAAGGCATTTTGGGCTACAGCGCAAAACCGAGACCTTAGACTTTGTTAAAATTGCCCTTTTTCCGCCGCCGGTCAGGCACCTGAGAGGAGCGTTCTGAACGGGAAGTACGAAAGGAGTTTCGGTGTGTGCTGCAGCACGCTCAAAACAATAACAAAACGAAAAAAAAAAAAAGAGGTGTTTCACATATGATCAGACAAACTGAAATCAAGAAAACTAAGTCTTCACAGAGATTAAACCCCGATGTCATTGTGATTAAAACCTTGACTGAAAAAAAAATGCTTTTGTTTAAGGTGTTTCCATCAAGCCACTGAATGGGAGTAAAATCTATTTCTCCTGTTGAAACCTGTGGGATTTTCCACCATTCTGTTTAGAGACATTTAACAAGAATAACATAGCCTTTAAAGATCGAATTCACTCTAATATTTTAGGTACACAATACATGAGAAAATAATGCAGCACAGATGCCAAAAGCTATATAAACATTACATTTCCTATTAACTGTCGCAATTACCTAAGAAATAACAGAAAGGGGTTCAAAGGGTCTTGAGAAAAGCCTTTGCGGGCTTCGTAGACCCTAAGCAGACAGGAGCATGAAATGGAGTGGTACAAGGTACTTCTGCAGGTCAGCAAAATCTGTGAAGCTAACTGTGAAATCCTATAATAGTATTAAATGCAGCAGGAAACAATTTCTCTAGCAACATAGTTGGCGTGCATACTCCCTCCCAGCTGAACCATATTTTTATGGGAAAAAAAAATACCAAAACTTTAAAGTACTCATATATCATATGAAGATTCGGAAAATGTGTCTAAACCTAATGGGTTGTGTTTGAATTGTGAAGTCCGTGCACAGCCTTATTATTTCTGTTGGTTAATACAACAGCCTTTAGAGACCAATAGTATCTGAGTAGATCTTGTGCAAAGAGAAAAATGTAAAGCCTGTATCTTAAGAAAGCTTGTTCAGTTTGTTTAACTTAAGGGAGGGGAGCTGGAGCAGAGTAAATTTCCCAGCTGGAAATGAAGAAACCAGCTGTTAATTTAATTAATTAGTTAATTTTAAAATACAAACAGAGAGGTATTCATGAAGGGTACATGAAGAGGCAAGTTTCCTGGAGTGTGAACTATTTTAGCTGAGAGCCACTGCAGTCAAAGGATATGGACTTCATGAGTCCTATGTCCTATGAAGAAAAGCCATGCATTAGAATAGCTGTGAAATGGGGCACTAACGGAGAACACTTCAGTGAAAATGCCCTGGGCCTGAAATAGAAAATTATCCTTGTTAAAAATCCTCTTTCAATATCAGTTCATTTTCACCTCTTGCTTTCAACTACGACCCAAACAGGGAAGCATTAAAAGGATTGTTCTCAAGCAGTGCCTGTGTTCTGGAGCTGGGGGAAGGTCACCCTAGCAGAAGATCTCACAGGGAGAAGCACATTAACTGGAAACACCTCATGATGCACTGCCACTTCATATTGTGCAGAATCAGCTGCATGAGCTCAGAATCAAGAAAGGGCTTCAGCCTAACCCATTAATCCACAGTAACCTAATCAACTTCTGGCTTCAATATGAGGACACAAATTCTGCTGAGTGCCCTATAAGGCTTGATCACAGAATCAGAGAAAAATATATGACCTTTTGTGTTCATCTGATATAACCTCCCTACTCAGGCCTGAGGAACACCACTCATAACCACATGGCAGTTTCATTTTGGACTGTTGATGGCTACTTTTCAAGTAGAGTGGTTCAGACTTACCCAGTCCCTACAGGACTACAAAGATGCTCCGAATACCGTGGCAAAAACTGTGCTACGTGTGCTGCTCTTATCACCTCAACCATAGAGCCAATCATCTCATGACAGAAGGCAATCGTGTTGATAGAACTGTGCGGGTTTTTCTGTCTTGACTTGTCTTTCATCATCCCAGAAAAGGCTTACAAAAAGATTTGCTCCATTATCTCCTCTGAGAGAGATGCTAGGTAAGGATGACTGTTCTGTAGTTTCCTGTACTTTGCTTTGATGATAGATGTGACATTTGCTTTTTTTTCCCAGTAACTGGAAATCCCATCTGATCACCACAGCCTTTCAAAGGTGATAGGAAGCAGCCTAATAATATTACTCAGCTTCCTCAGCACCTTTACAAGTACCTTCTGTCCAGTCCTAAGGACTTGCAAACATCTCATTTGCTGGAGTGTCCCCAGTTCAACCTTCCTCTACAGTTAGTAGTAGTCTTCTACTCCAGACTTTGCCAAATAGAGCTCTGTGAGGCCTGAGGGCTGACCTTGCTAGTAAAGAACAAAGGAAAGAGGGCTTTGAGTATGTCAGCCTTTTCACGGTCCTTCATTCCTAGGTCACCTGCCCATTCATCAGCAGAGCCTGTAGTTCTTAGGGTTGCTTGCTTGTAATGAGACTGGTTTGATGGTTTTCTCTGCCTCTGGGTGTAGACAGCTGTGATAGAAATGCTGGCATTGGTGTGAATGGAGTATGAATGGTAATATCTGGGTGTGGGGGCACTGGATGGAGCACACAACAAGGAGAGGGCTCTCAGCATGGACTATGCTACTGGGATCCAGATTAGCAGGTCATCACCCAGTACATCTTTGGGCAGTTTCACAAGACACTCCTTTCTGGAGAAAAAGGGCAATGAAGAAACCCTGATGACTCACAGAGGTGGGACAGGATGGGGACACTGATCACTATCAGCTGCTAAAGGCTACCAAGAGGCATATTCAAAATCTGTGCATGGTTGCCAGCCTAAGAAGAACCCAGAAGACATGAGGAGATCTTCACAGCCAGTGTCACTTCCCTCCCACATAATTGTAATGGATGCTGGACCTAACAGCATCTGGACATAGACATGGCCATGGCCAATGGGCAGCCTGGTCACCACTGCTGTGGTGCCCCATGGCTGCACAGGCTCATGGAAGCTCATGTCCTGCTCTGCTTTAAATACATCCACCTTCGCAGCTGCAGGTCTGGCACTGGCCTGTGCAACACTGTTGATAGAGTGTTGCAACAGTATTTCCCACAAGTGGGTATGTTTATCTTTTGCAGGAAGCAAACTGGTCTTAACATCTAAGAATTCAGCCATTTATGTTATTTTCTGTCATGAATCCTGCTCAGTATTAATGGGCTCCTACAGTCTTGGTTGAATTTTCCGAGTGTACTTTGCTGTATGGATAACATGAGAGACTTTTTTTGAGTCCTGTCCTCCATCCTTCCATTGACCTTTGGAGCAGAAAGCTTTTTTTCTTTTCATTAGTGTGTATTTTACTGCTTTGAGTTGCCATTTCTGTCAGCAACTTTATCATTCACCTAGCCTTAATCACTACATTGATTTATCTGAACAGAAAAAGGGAGAGGAAACAATCTTCAGAGTTGTTTAATGCCCGTAGTGCTTTACAATATATACATTCAGCCATTTCTAAAATAACCCTGAAGCAGTTTTGAATGGTAGAATAAAGGGGAAAAAAATGCTTTTGCTGCTGTTTGGTGCCATTTACAATATCTCTAAAGTACAAGCTGTGAATTCTCTGGGTAGATGTGAGAACTCATGAGCAAAAATATAAACCAGGCTGATAATAGAGAAAGAAACCTTGTTGGCAAAACAGAAACAAAGCACAAGCTGAAAAAATGATGGAAGGTCACATTACAGAGAGGAAGATTCAGACAATGAAATTTATTTATTAAAAAACAATGCAAATACAAACTGACAAAGTTCAAATTCCGATAAGCGATGACCACCAGATTACGGGTAAATTGTCCAATAAACATTTAAATCTACAAATTATGTGAAAAGAAGCATTAATTTTGAACAAGCTTGAGAGTAAAATTCAAATGTCTTCTCTTGATTAGAGAAGTTACTCATATCTGTACCCAAATTATAAAACTTTCTAGTTCTCAGATTTCATGCACTGATAAAACCTCTGATGAAGGTGGAATTTTATACGCTTTGTATTTGTCAGGATGAGAGGACTGGTTTAGAAACCCCTTCTCAATTGTTTCCGGGTTACTGAAATTTATTTTTTGAGGAGGGAAAGTCGTTAGTTCAAGAGGAAACTTAACCAAGTATTTTAAATAGTCCTGTATTCCAAGCTGTTAATGGACTAAGAAACTATGGGTTATAGATGCTATTGCAGTCCAGTAATGAAATTGGAACAGAGAGGATGGAAGCGAATGAAACATCTTCATTATCTGATGAGAGTATTAGCACTTATGATCTTCTTATCAATGGCCAAGAGTCTGGGTATCTCTCAAATGAGCAAATTGCCTGGTAATAGGCTAAAATGCTGGAAGAAAATGAGAAAGTATCTTTCAATCAGCAAGAAAGAGCAGTCAATTAAGTGAAAACCAGATCTGCAGAGCTACAAAGAAC